TATCACACTAAACACCCACTCGTGAAGATCTGCAAAGCTTTCGAGACTACTATACCAAAAAGAATGACCAACCTCACCTTTGTTATTGTAGAACAGTAATTCCATCACAATTTTTAGAAGTCATCTTAAATTTATTCATCTTAATGCATACAATTTATGTTATTGGTGAATGTAAACTAACTGATTTGCTTCATAAAAAACCAAGAAAATCCCTTTAACTAAATTGGATTAAGTTATATTCAGAAAAAGGTTTTTCTTTCTCTTTAATGAGATGAACATGCCATCTCATTCCCTATTTGTTTTTTTCTCGTTTCTTTATGTTTTTCTTTTTCTCTGTAAACAGGGAATATGTTGTAGATCTAATTGGGATGCCAGGAAATGTCTATGATCCAGATTCAACAATTAATGGACAGTTGCTCTCATTTGTACCTTCTCCTTTTCAGGTGTCACATTTGACATGTTGCCCAACTTTGCACACAAATGATGCTTTATCCCATGAAATGCTGAACCAAGCGTATACAGGTGTTCCTGCTGGAAAAACTCAATGCTCAGGTAAATGCTTCTTTTTGTTTAGTCCACTGCTTATTCGTACTTGGAACTAATGATAAGCCAAGCATAAGCTATTATGATCATCTACTATGTTAAAACGGTGATGAGTCCTAGTATTTTTTATTTTACAACTCTTAATCTTAAAATCTAAAACTAATAAACGATGTTGGGTACGTAAATTTTCACTTGGAATAACCTTACAATCTTTACAATCACGACGATCTCTTCTTCTCATAATAAAATAATCAATTTGTGTTTTATTAGATTTACTCTTATAAGTAATAAGATGTTCATCTCTTTTCTTGAATAAAATATTAGTGATAACAAAATCTTACGCTAAAGCAAGATCTAAAATGACTCTACCTTCTTTGTTAGTCACTCCAAAATCATAGCCACCATGAATATTTCTGAAATCTTATACCACTCTACCGGCATGTCTATTTAAATCTTCCTCCAATAAAAATTCTTTCTTCGAGATGTATCATTTGTATTAAGTCTTCGAAGTCATTCCAGAATTTATCTTTAGACCCTATATCTAAACCTACTTGAAGAGCATAAACACTTATAATATTAAAAATCTTAATATCAATAATAATCTTAACGACTATAATTCTATCTTCAACTCTATTAATTTTTACAACATTATCTTTCAAACACTTATCTATAATTCCACCTACAGCATTTCTAGTGTGACTCTTACCATAATATCAAAGTTTAAAACTTAAATTATCATTCTCCTTAGCCTTTTCTCCAATCCATTTAGTTTTTTTAATACATAAGATATTAATTTTTCTATGAATCATAATATCAACTAATTTCATAAATTTACCATTGAGAGTACCTATATTCCAAGAGCCTATCATAATATTAGTTTCATTAATTTCATGGACTAACTTCTTTACTCGCACTTCTTTACCAGCATTCGCCCGTAATGTGGGAACTCTTGCTTATTTAACACTACCCCCGGACGCCGGTATAGCGGCTCTTGCACACTTTTCACTGTATTCAGGCTATATAGTGTGTCGCTTTTAGGGGACGCCCTAACACTTACATAATGATCAAAAGGATCAAGTCATGATTTTTTTTTACAAGTTTTACGCTAGCTGTCGACTACCTAATGCAACTCTCCACTTTTCTCATCCGGGCTTGGGACCGGCAACAGCAGTGTTATTTGTATCAATTAACAAAAAAAAAAAAAAACTTGTTTCATTTTCTTGTGAATTATAATGAAAAAGTAAGGAAAGTTATATTTGAAAATAATAGCACAAATTTATAGTTGACTTTACTAAATGTTTACAAATAATTTTTTAAGCTGTAATAACTATAACATTAGTCTTTACATTTTTTTTATATAATGGATAAGTCTCAAGATGTATAAAAAATGGAATAATAAGCTGTTAAGGTGAAATATGTTGATAAAAAGAATAAGTTATCAAAGGATTTATTAGCATTAAATATATTTCATCAATAAATACAATTGCACTCACAACATTTCTTGACGCTATACTCTAAAAACAATCATTAAACTTACATAGAGTACATAGTCAACACTATGAAGAGGCATTTAGTACATTAATATAGATATTATATATTTATATAATATAAGTTATATAATTAATATAATATATTATTTATATATATTAATATTATGGATGTAAAACTGGCTCGTCGCTCGCGAACAGCTCTTGATCGGCTTATGTTCGGCTCGTTCGTTAAGAAACAAACACAAATAGTGACTTCACGAACAATTTCGAACACGAGCTTATTTCAAACTAACTAAATTTCAAACGAACCGAACACGAACACAAGCTCTGTTCGTTCTTGTTCGGTTCATTTACACTCCTAATGACATGGCATTTTATACACAAGATGAGTTAAATAGTTAAAAATTACTTATTTTTAAGAAAAATCCTCAATCATAATATGTACATTACTCACCAACTTTAATTATGATTGATCCTTGCAACAAATAATTATTGAAAAATATTTATTTATTTTTAAATAGCTTCAAGAAATTTGAATAAAGATGTGTTTTTTTGTAAGATGAGTGAAGCTCTTAAAACCATTCATCATAAGAAATTATTGTGCATTTTAAAATTAAAGATCTAACTCGTGGTGAGATTTGAATTAAGAAACGATAAAATTGGCGTTAAGTATTGAAGTGATAACCATAAATGATGAGAGAGGCTGGATATGACTCTTTATTAGATGAAATCTCTCATTTTTGTAATAATTTTAAAATTAATATTTCATATATTAATTTTACCATCAAGGCACATCATTATTTAACACCTATAGATGAAAAATTAATAATTTTATACATTTATCGTGTTAAATTTTCGAGCACCGTGTTCGGCTCGTTTGTTTAGTTAGTCGAACACGAGTTGTTCATGAACAAAGAGTCATTTTGATAACCCTAATCTTATAGCCATAAGATGTTAAAAGTTGGGGCAAGATTTAAAAATCATTGTTTCAATTAAAACATCATTTGAAACTAATTTAATCATTTTTTATTTTATTTTCTTAATTAATACTTTTAATTAATCATAAATCTTTGTATCCTTGTAATAAAAAATACTGCTCATCAATATATATATATATATATATATATATATAATGGCTAATATATTAAATAGAAAGTAGGGTACAGATAAATTGTGTAGGAGGGCCCAAACATGACACCCTACCCACACTATACCCACCACATTAAATTGTTCCAAAAAGAGAAAACAAAAAATACACGAGAGCGACCTAATTTTGCCTTGTCTATGCCTCTAGTTCTACGGAAGGAGTCAACTAATAAGTTTGTAAGATGAGTGTCATTGTCAGTAGTAACTAATGTATCCTCCAATAAATTCCCGAGCTCGAATCAGTCTCTATTCTTCTTCTTCCTCCTAGAATAGATCTGTCATTCCTCATCTGAGGATTGACTCACCTGATCAGTGGATTGGTTTAAAGTGTGTCAGACATGTGTAGTTTGTTGAACATTAGAAACAAATCCTTGTTGTACCAGCTGATCTTTTATCAGATCAAAGGAGCCTCTCATGAGACTTGACATGTAAATGAGTTTTCTTCAATAACAGTGAGTGGTATAATGACATTTGGACCTGTACCTGTAGTATGGTGCTCTTCATTTGGAACTGCGGTGTTGGAAAGAGGATCGAGTTGCACCTTCTTGGCAGGGATGGTAGGTGGTTGATCTTTAGCGATATTGGGCCTTAGATGATGATGCAAGCGATAGCAAATAGTAGAACTATGACCAAACATACTACAATGAGAGCAATAAGGAGGGTGTAGTTTTATTTTAACTTTTTGTCAATACCCGTTATGACTGGTGTCAATCCATACCTCATCCGGGACTAGTTGAGCGATATCTCTCTTAACAAACACACAACCCATAGAGGGTCCGGTGACAGCAAATGTAGGACTATCAATCTTGAGAGGTTTACCGTAAGCAGTTGCTAAAGAGTAGAGAATTTTCAAGTTGAACATATGTAATTTTAATCCAGGAAATTTTATCCAAACAGGAATGATAAGTGACAACAAGCATGGGAAC